AAAAAAAAAAAAAGAAACCCCCCAAACCCTTACTCACCTCTCTCATTCCTCTCAACCCTTTCTCTTTCCTCTTTCTCACTCCAATCTTTTCTCTGTCATTCCTACTGTAGCCTCAATTGAAAAAATCAGAAACACTTGCTGTTAAACAATCTTACAAAAAAATGATTTTATAATGAGTTTTCATCTTATAATTTTTGTCTTATCTAATTTTATCCAATTTTCACAAGCATAAAGGAATTGGTAATTAACCTGGAAAAAATTCAGAAATACTCGCTGTTAAACAATTTCTTACAAAAAATGATTTTATAAAGAGTTTTTGTCTTATCTAATTTTATCTAATTTCACAAGCATAATGACATCAAAGGAATTGGTAATTGGCCTGGAAAAAAATCAGAAACACTCAGTTGTTAAACAATTTCTTACAAAAAAATGACTTTATAATGAGTTTTCATTTTATAATTTTTGTCATATATAATTTTATCTAATTTTCACAAGCATAATGACATCAGAAAGAATTGGTAATTGGCCTGGAGGGTTTTTTTAGAGATGATGATTCAACAAATACAGATGATGAAATTAGAGAGGTTAGTGAAGATGGTGAAATTGAAGAGATCTTGAATGAACCTTTGCCTTGAAGGTGAATATATCAATGACTCAACTCTTTACAAAGGAAAATTTTTTAAAGGCATGTGTTTTTGATTTTTTTCAATTGGGACTACAGTAGGGATGACAGAGAAAAGGTTGGAGTGAGAGAGATGAAAGAGAAAGGATTGAGAGGAATGAGAGAGGTGAGTAAGGGTTTGGGGGGTTTTTGTTTTTTTTTTTAAGTTTTGAAAATGAAAATTATTAAAATACCCTTAACCTTAAAACTTCGAATCCATAATGTATAAGGATATTTTTGTCTACTAAAACCCGGTACATATTGCTAAAATGTACCAACTGAAAAACAGGCGTACGCGCGTTAGCAAACCCCATATATATATATATATATATATATATATAATTTGATCAACCGGTATGTTCCTGGTAGTTATAGGTAATAAATTGAATCCGAAGTTTGATACAAAAATAATCTTAGGACGCCATTTTTGAATGAGTTTATGAACAATAATACTTGGCAAGAATAACCCCACCTAAACCAGAAAAACATAATTCTACAATTTGGTTGGTTATTTCTTATTACAAAATTATAGGAGGATGGAAAGACTTTTTAATTTTTTGAACATGTCAAAATTCGAAACGAGTCCCGGAAAATAAGATTAATAGACTATTTTTGAATTTTGATATATAGAAACTAATCAGGAAGAACTATATATTTTTAAAGACCAAAAGATATTTCGTCTAATATTAAAAATGAATTTATTTGTCTGCATGATATATATATATATATAAAGTAGTGTGTAATTGACGGGACAGGACTATTCATTCAGATTTCTTAAAACCTTGGAGGATTATAATTGAATTAATCTCACGGAATGTATGTGTTTTTAGCGGTTAAATATTAAAATCCAAGGAGTGTGCTATATGTGGAGGTCAGTTTTGGATCTGCAAGTATATGGAATAATGGAATAATTGAGTAATGGTAGTAACACATTTTAACATTTATTTAATACACAATATAAAATAGTCAAAAAAATATGTTTTTATATTTTTTTTAAGAAAAAAAATAAAAAGAAAATATAATATTAAATAAATATAAAAAAATTATGTCAAAATATATTTTTTTTGGAATAACACTAAAAAATAATATTTTAACATACATAAAGTTTTTACATTCATTATATATGGTCTTTTCTCAATTTTTTACTTTTTAAAAAAATATTATAAAAATTTATTTTTTTATAATATTTTACTTTTATAATGTGTCAAATAAATTTTTGTGACTTTATCATTACTCTAATACTAATAGACGAAAACTACTATACCATGATGAGTTATATCTTAACAAGGATCCCTTGCAAGCAAAGGTAACCTTTCATCATCAGATCACCAATTTATCAATGATCATAACTCAATAAGAATTAGAGGAATTAACTAAGCATGATTTAGGAATAGTGGACAGATGTAGTCAAGAGTCTGCTTTCAAGATTTGAACAGCCCAAACCAACAACCTTACCATTGTGCCAAGATAGCCCTAAATGAAATAATGAAATAAAATAGTAACATAAAATTGGTCACATAAAGAAGGTAAAGAATTGGAAGGTACCCTCCTTTATTATCAAGGCCATACAATTAAACAGCAAAGTGTTAAATATAGGCAAACACCTTCATTGCAATAATATCTATTTTACAGCAGTATCCACAGTACTGAAGTGTTTAATATATATACAATAAGAATAAACAAGAAATGTATAATTGGTCTACCTAGTATATTGACATGAAGGGAAAGAGAAATCAGAAAACTTTCTACTGTCTTTAACAATTCACAAGTCCTGAATTGGAATGTCAATACTGAAAGGAATATATCATCATCATAAACACAACTGTACATCATCTTACTACCTGTTGTTACAGTGCAAAATTAAGTAGCAGATGCTTTGCGAATGAATCTTTAAAGCTAAAAATTCCGCAAGTGCTAGGAAAGGCAAAACCACATATGGAACTCATCTGAACGTCATCTTTTGGATTTTGATCCATGTGAACTGGACTTTGAGAATGGTGATAGTTTCTTCAGAAAGGTGGATTTCTTCGGTGGTCTATTTTCTTCAGCTGGGTGAGTGTTAGAATCTCGACAAGAGTTGCTGATATTTGGCTCAGGGCAATCTTTATTGTCACCAATGTTGACATCATCCAAAAGATGGATCAATTCCAACGCACTTTTCTTTCCTTTATCGTTTCCATTCTGGGAGATCAAGAAAAGAGAAGGTATGATATTGTCATGCTCACTCATTACTAACTTCAAGTAATCCACATGAGAGCATAGAGAGACTAGAACTGCCAGTGCATGTTCTTGTTCTTCATTATTGCCGGTATTAAGTATTTCAGTAACCGAACTTACGCACCCCTTTGTTTCAGCAACAGAATTCCTACCCTCTTCAGTATCACAAAGATTTTTCAGTATACGTATGCAGTACCTCAAAAGGTTTCTGTCTTCGAAAAATGGCAGCAATTTTGGGATGCACTTGAGTGATAGCATGCGGGGACAGACTTCGCCAATGAAAGACAAATTGTACATTATTCTAATAGCTTGTTGTTGGAAACCTTTTTTTTCGAAATCAAGTATGTTTAAAATAGAATTGAGAGTACTGGATGCTGCAATTTTAGGTGCATTATACCAACGTCCTGACAGTTCTTCCAGTATGGCAAGAATTTCTTCTGTCGCTTCTGAATCAAGAAAACTTGCCAACATAATGAACGTCTCTTCATTCAAATTAGTATTACCATTTCTGCAACAAATAATATGCAAATAACAAAAAGATCATTCTATTATCAAAAGGCAAGTGCAATGATAAAACGATCAAAGTATGGAAGAAAATTACAAAAAATAAAAAAGAGAATAGAATGTGATTTATATCCCTCGAAAATTCTATAACTTTCTCGTGATTTTCGTTTTTGAAGGATGTTAAACAATGTTTCAACACATGAACACTGTTTTTGAGGATAGATGTGAATTAATTTAGAAAAATCTTAGCCGAAAAATGACATGAGAAAATATAATAAGCAAAGCAAATAGTTAGCAATATAGAAATAATAAGATTAAGAAAGCGGAAAAGAAATCATGCCTGCAGTTGTTCACAAAATCCAACAGAAGTTGAGTTCCAGCTCTCAACGCTTGAACATCACGCAGATCATATGCATTGTTCAGAAATCTGAGGAGTGGTTCAACCAAACTGTCTGCAGATACAGAACCAAAAGCTTGGCTATTGCTTTTCAAGTGATCTTTCAGGTCTTGAATGACCTTGCATTGAGAATCCCATTGAAGATCACCGAGTTTAGGCAAGAGCATCAAATCAGTATCATGTATCTCTGTATGAACTTGATGTCTTTCAGAATTGTCACTAGTCCTGATCAGCATAGAGCCACGAGTGGTCCTACCATGCGAGGCATCTGAACTAAAACTAACATCAAGTGACCCAATTGACATGTTACTAAGATCCACTGGCGGGTTGAAATCATTGAAATAACTTCCTATACTATTAATGGAAGTGCTTGAAACATCCCATGAGGAAATATCTTCTGCTTGCCTACTAGGATCTGGAATGGAGACTCCATTTTTTCTGCACCACTTTGATATTAAGTCCTTCATGGCCACATTTGGAGTTAAAGCCGTATGGATTAGTTTCTTTCTGGTTTTGGGGCATATATCCTTACCCTCATCAAACCACTTTTTTATCCACATCCTTTCATATGTTACTCCTGATTCAATGATAACAGGATCATTCATCAACCTTGAGGATATTGGGCATTTATATTGCTCAGGGAGGTCAACTCCACCTAACTCACCGGTGTGAGTTATATACTGATCATAGTTTAAGCTTTGGTCTGACTCCACATGATGGTTTCGTAGAGAATCGTGATAAGAGTTCTCCGTTGCAACATGTTCTTCGGAAGAATAGACCCTCTCCTCATGTTCTTCCACCAGGAGCTTTGCATGCTTTTTCAGTAGAAGCAGAAGATAACTCAGTA